TAGCTTTCAAAGAGTCATTTTTAGTCTGTTTGCTTCCGGTTTCAGAATCTTTCACCTCATAAGGAAAACACAAAGACAGAGTTCTAAAAGTTGGTATAATTCAAGAAATATGCAAAAAAATTAAAAAATATAAGACAATTTAAACTTTTGTATTGTTGGAAGTAAATCTAATGTTTCTCATATGCATCTCTGGATTTAACATGGGACTATAACTAAATATACTATGTCAAAGTTTGTTTTAAAGAACTTTTACATTGAAAAAAATAAGAAGAATATAAACAGTTGCCAAGTTCACAGCTTGAAATGGGGGAAGGGGAATAAGAGAGAATGGGGTATTATGAGAAAAAGGAAGTAATATATAGCACTGTGTAATATCTGCAACCATAAAAATGAGAATTATATGTATTTAATGTATTAGAGAAAAATTTCTGGTACTTTATAATATTTTGGGGAGACAGGAATCTGAAAACATGTTTCAGTGATAAAGAGTGCTTGCTGTTCCTCCAGAGAACCTGAGTTTGTATCATGTAGCTTCCAATTGCCTGTAATCCCAGCTCCAGAGGTTCCCATGTCCTTTTCTGGTCTATGTGAGTACCTCCACTCATGACACACACACACACACACACACACACACACATTTTAAAGTAAGGAAAATATTTAGTTATATGGAATAAGGAAATTAATGATGTGTAAATTATTTATCATGTGTTCAAGGGATCATTCTTTGAAATTCAACCCACAGCCATTAAATGCATTTATCTGTCACAAGTGCCCATAATACTACAATGGTGAACAATGTCGTCTGTATTGGAAATTGTTACAATGAAGTAAACTGACAAACCATGAACAGCTGTTACTTAAAAAAAATCCTTCTAGTCATGGTAGTCAGAAGTATGAACAAAAGTTAGGTCAGCTTATTAAATAGATTTGCAAGTAGAGCTCAGTATGATGGCTTGGAGGGGTTTAAGGTGTTCCATAGATGAAACAATGGTCCTTGCTTTCATCTGAAAGAACAGCAAAAAGAAAGAAAGAAAAAATAAGGTATGAATAATATCCTTTTCACACACTGTTATGTCTATTTCATTAAATGAGAACAATATAACATACCTATGTTTTTTTGCTACATATTACCATTCTCTTGGAAATGTATTTCTCATCAGTTTATCAAACACTGAACATTTGCTGACTGCCAGTGAAAATAGAAATAGAAAATAAGACAAAGTAAACCTACGTGGATAGAGGCGTGGAAGATAGAGAGAGATGGGTTCATGAACAATGTGGGTTCTCTGTGGATTCTGAAGCAGCTTGTAGATCCACCGGTACACCACTGGAGACCTTCAAGCCAAGTAATACTGCAAAAGATAATTTGGAAAGAAGGAAGTGGGAAGGGTGTAAAGATCGACAATTCCCACAAGAATATTGACAGTGATATGAAAAACAAAACACAACAGTGGTGTCCAGGAAATAATTGTGTCTGTCTAAATTAATTACAGGTGGATAAAAAAACAAGTTGCTTTAAGCCTGTTATTCTGAATGTAATGACTGTAATTAGCTAGATTTTGGGAACACTTTATGTTTGTGGCTGTGTTTTCTTAATTGTAGTGATTTTTTTTTTAAAAAAAAAAAGCCTATATGTGGTACAAACTCCATCTGCTCTACAGTGAAATTCTCTAAATCATAGAAATATTTTTTAAAGAGCCAAAACTACACTGAATTAAAACACACTGTGATTTGCTTAAAAATTTGCTTGTAAATAATATAATACACTTAGCTTGGGGAGCCATGATCCTTAAATAAATGCCCTGTTAGTTGCAATTAAAGAAATGGTACCTTTTTTAGAATGACTGTTGAGGAAATTATGTGAATCCTTTCTTTCCATCTACCACAGTTGAGACAAGATATCTACTCTTCACTACCTCTGCATACAACCCAAAAAACGCAGGGATTTTCTTCTCTCCTCCTCTCATCTCCCTATACAAGATCTAGAATTACTGATGTCATGGCAAACATTTCTGGCTTTTTACTTGCTTTCTGAGGATCTATACTCAAGTCCTCAAAGTTGCATCAGAAGTACTTAATTTACTGAGCTGTCAAGTTTTTTGTTTGGTTGGTTGGTTTTCAAGTATCAACATCATGGAACAAAGATATATTTGCTAAACGCCTGATGTTTATTTTTATACTAAAAATATACTTAATTTTGGGAAGATAAACTATATTATCAAATCAAGTAAAGTGACTATATTTTTGTTAGTTTTTTTGTTTTCCTTCTATTTTGTTTTTCCATTAAAATGAGCTCAAAGTGATTACAAGAGAAATTTCAGTTTCTAATTCAGTGGAATGGACTTGTTAATATGTTCCAGTTGGAGTCATTATTCCTTCAGGCAGTAAAACTTCTAAGCTAACCATCCTCATAATTAGGAAACATACTATCCCCTGGGTTAGTGGTGTCACAGTGACAGGACGTTACCATTTTCACCCCTCGTTTACTTGTCTGGTGCTGTTAAATAGAAAAAAAAAAAAAACTGCAATATTTCTGCAGCACAAATGAGCCCATGCACTCACCATTTCAGAACACTAGATTCTGACAGTGAGTGACCATGTGGCCCTCCTCCTGTTGTACATGCTCACCTGTTTAGAGCCTCTACAGCAGAGGTCATTATGAAGAGAGACAGATGTTTGGTGAGATGTTTATATAGCTGTGTCCACATGCCTGTAGACCACAAGTGCAGTCTTCTCCTAGACACAGAAGCGGCTCCATTGAATGGAAGGGCTTCTCCGCAATCATTCTGCTACCAAATAGCTGGCTAGTCAACCGGGTGCCAGTCAGTATCTTAACATGCAAGGTGGGAGCTGAGGGCTATCTAATGCACTAGAGGCTACATTGCCTATGTGATTATTGATAAAGACTTTGATTAAGGGTGTGGTCTATTGAAATTACATGACATTATCATCCACATAAATATATTTGCATACATTTGGTTTTTCTGATATGGCTTCCTAAATTTCTCCTCCTCTAAATTTCAAGTCTTATTCTTTTCATATGTCTGATGAAGTAGAAATTTCCTACTTACTGTATACATGCCAAAGCTTGTTCCAAACACATGGACATACTTTGTTCAAAATTCTTCCATGTTGAAGTATCTGCTAATTAATATAATTCAGTTCCCTTCCTGAGTGGAATATAGTGTAGCTTTGATCTAGTCCCAGCTTCCTCTTGTGCACCATGCTCAGGGACCTGCCTATACTTCAAACCTGCATCCATTCCTAACATGTTTAGAAACACGACTTGGGCCACAGATATGAAAGGAAGGAGTGGGGCAGATCAGAGATTGCAGTAGTGTAGAGAGCCCATGTTGGCCTCAGGCTGAGCTCCTCACATAAAATATAGACTTCCATTTTATATTGCATCGATGCTGTGTACATTAAGTGGATCAGTTCATCATGGAAAGTTTGGGTTGCATTGTCATAGTAATTGGTTAATATTCAACCATTACGGGGCTTTCATGGTTCTTGGCTCTTTTTTCCCCACTACAAAAGAAAAGGACTATTCCACTGATTCTATGGGACCTTTTATTCTGATTGTATGTTCACATCCTGAGCCTCTCTTTTTTTTTTCCTATGACATTTCTCTAGGGATTTAGAAGAACCTTGTCAACCATAGTTTACAAACTATATTATCAATATTATTTTTGTCATAATCAGGTGACCCAAGTATTTGTTTTTCTATACCTTTTGCCTCTACCTACATGGTGCTCCAGGTCACTACTTATGACAGTTGATTCACAACTACATTTCTTTCTATGGATCACTATATTTTATTTCCTTCCTGGGGAAAAACAATTATTACAACACACACACACAAGCAAACTACCAAGTATTCTCAAAGAATCTGAATCGGAAGGTGTATTTACTGAATCTCTTTTCTAGTATTAATCATTGTTTCTGGGTACCTAGAGGAAAGACTTGACTTATTTGGTAAAATGAGTTGAAGATATTTCATAAACAAAGAGACAGTTTACTGAGGTAAAGACATGGGAAGCTACAGAAGAACCTGCTATAATCTAACCTAAAAGCAGCCAAACCCTCATTTTCATTATGAGCATAGTAATGAGCTTTTTCCAGACATAGAGTCATGTAGTATAGACTCATGGACAGTAGTTGAAACATCATTTAAAGTTCACAGATGGCCTGAGGTGACATTGCAGGATGAAGCTGCGAAAATAAATAACCCGATTTTACTCACTTCTTTCTAGTTGTCATTGTAAATACTGTAATGACCTCAGTGCAGGAGCCAGAGGGCATAATATGGAGACCTTTAATGTGGTTCCTGCAAATTAAATTCCTGACTCAGAATTATATAGTAGATCTCAGATTATATATTTTAAAAGTCTTTCTTTTTTGCAGTTAGTATGAATTTATTATTTATTATTTTTATATTAGTTACAGTTTATTAACTTTGTGTCCCAGCTGTATCCCGCTCCCTCATTCCCTCCCAATCCCACCCCCCTTGCCTCCCTCCCTCATCTCCTCCCTGCCCCTTTCCAAGACCACTGATAGGGGAGGACCTCCTCCTTTCATTCTATTTCCTTGGAGCTAAAAAGAGTGTAACAACTATAGAGTTAGCCCCTAACTTGTCTGATGAAAGAATGGGGAAAAAGTTGCATGGAAATATGCATGAATGACATCATGAGTGCTCAGGGCTTTGGCTGTATCTCACTCTTCATTCATTCTCTCAATTCTTTTTTTTTTCCAAATGATACTTTCATGTGTTGAATCCATACTACCTCAATCCTCAATGCTGATGCTTCATTCTATTCTTCCTTTTGTTCTGCTTTTCCTGGAATTCAAAAAGCAATTCATAATTTCTTGGAGAAATGGATAAAAGCTAGCATGCTGTCTACATAATATTAATGCACAATGAGGATTTCAAGGACAGATGTTTGTGGGTCACTGAGCCCACATCTCTACAGTCGATCTCAAATAACACTCATTTATTCTAGAGGAACTTCTGCATTCTCACATCGCCCACTGGTGGTCACCCGATGGAGAGAGACTTGCCTTCCTGATGATAAATGACTCCTTGGTGCCTAATATGGTTATACCCCGGTTTACTGGAGCACTGTACCCCAAAGCAAGGCAGTACCCATATCCCAAGGTAAGCAATGCGAGAGAGCTATTTGTTCCTTCTCTTTGCATCAGTAGCTTGATGGACAACATGCTTGATTCAAGAAAAAGTGCCTCTGAAAGGAGAGTTTCCTATGGGCAGACAAAGCCATCAATTCTAAATTTGTCAGTAGAACTCAAGAGATAGTATCAGTAAAAAAGGCACAAGTGGGGCTGGAGCTATTGCTCAGACAACAAACCAATTGCTAGATTGGCAGAAAGACTTGAATATGATCTCTTAGAACTCATGTCAAAAAGCCGTACTTGGCAGTGCTTACTTACTTACTTACAATCCCAGGGCTGGGAAGACAGGTATAGGGGGAATGCTGGAGCTCACTGGCCAGATAGACTAAATGCCTTGGTGAGTGCCAGGCCAATGAAAGAAACACCATCTCAGAAGAAAAACAAAAACAAAACAAAACTGAAACAAAGGAAACCAAAGTGAATAACATCAGAGGAATAGCAGTATTTCCTCTCACCTCCAAACAAATGTACACACATGCTTATATACCTGCATATATCTGCACACAGACACATGCACAAACATACACATACACACAGAGAAAGAGAGAGAGAGAGAGAGAGAGAGAGAGAGAGAGAGAGAGAGATGGGGAGAGGGAAAGGGAATGAGAGAGAGAAAAATATTTTTTACAGGTGATAAAAGGCATGAGATATTTCTGTACTTCTTCCCTTTGATGCCCATTCTTGACTTTTTTTTCTAATTTTCTTCTCATCTACTGAGTTGAAAAGAGAATGGGAAGAGATATAAGACAGACATGAGGTTAGGACAAAGGCATCTGTAAATTACATCACTGGAATTGTGAATAGATGTTATAAGATGAAGAAATTTCATAGCTAAATAAGTTAGCAGTTCTTAGTTTCAAAGAATTTTTAGTTTCTTTCGGATGACTTCTTTGGGCAGTTAATATACTATAAGTTAATAAGTATTTTAATCCTTGTATAAAAATTATTGAGAATAAAAGTATCTTCAGCCAAGAATAGAAGAATCATAAAGGGCCCCAGTGAACAGAATGAGCACAAAGAATTGACTAGTAAGTATATTAATAGCAGCATTATTTGGCAGAACATGTTATGGAGTTTATAGAATGCTGCAGTTGAGTCCTATCCAGATAGATAAGATAGGTTTTTTTTTTTTTAAGTGTTATAGAGCAAGAAGAGCATGAAAGTATTTCCTAGACAGCAAAGTTGTTTTCAAGTGTTGAATGAGGCCTCCAGGATAAGGACATAAATACATTTGAAAGCACTTGGATTTCTGTGGCATTCCCTCCTTAGTACCTCAAGTTTCACTTGGTGGTGGTGGTGGTGGTGGTGGAGGTGGTGATGTTGCTGCTGGTGGTCATGGTGATTGTGGTGTATTGGTAGTGGTGATGGTGTGTGCACCTGTGCATGTTTGTATGTTACATGCATGAAGTGTGTAGAGCTCAGAGGTAAGATGTCATAAGCCTTCAATTGCTATGAACCTTATTTTTTGAGACAGAGTACTTCAGTGAATCTGGAGCCTACCAAGTTAGCTGCACTGGCTGGCAAACAGCCTCCAGGAATGCTGCTCTTTCAGCATTCTCAGATATCTCTAGATAGCCATGGCTATGAGAAAGTTTTCTTTTAATGTGGGATTCCAACATAGATCCCAACGCTTGCACTGTAGATATTTTTCTGACTTAACCATATTAGGCCCCTCAGATTCCTTTTTAAAAAAGAAATTACAATAATACTTATTTAATATTTGAGAATTTCATACATGTATGCAATACATTTTGATCATTTCTAACACCTACCACCTGACTACATGTTCTGAAAAACCACATTCTAACAATTTCCCCAGACAACTTTATATCCTCTTCATTTTTATAGCCCACTGAGTTTAAGTTGTGCTGCCCATAGTTTCCTGGGTGAGAGGTTACCCACTGGAGATTGGGGAGCCTGCCATAACCCCAGTACTGAAGACAAAAGACTCTACTTTCCTAATAGCCATCAACTGACAACAGCTGGAGGTCCTGCCCAAATCCATGCTGTGCTGTTGATTGACTTAGTTTTGTGAAGTCAAGCACTATTTTAAGTACCTGTTTCCTCAATATAAGGAGATTATGGTAAGATGCTTTATGCATTGTCCTTGCAAAGAGATCTTCTAAAAATCTTCTGTGTACATTTTAGCTCTTAATTAGAGAAGTCAAGAAACTGTTTTTACTTTCTGTGGTAGGGAGTGGTTGTCACAGCACACTTGGGAAGGTCAGAGGACAGACACCTTATAGGAGGAATCTGTTCTCACTTTCCAAAATATAGGTACCAGAAATCAAACCCAGGACACCATGGGATGTAAGAAGCCCCTTTACCCACCACCACCACATCTCCCTAGCCCCCAAGAAGCTGGTTTTAAGGCACTGGTTGGCGAAATGTGCTTTGTTTTTCTCATGTGCAAATATCTTTGTTAACCTTGAACTTGTTCATTGTATCATCTGTGTACACTATCCAGAAAAAACAAAGCCATCACTCTCATTAGGCCCATTTTGCTGTGGTAACACAACAGGGCTTCGATGAGTTGGGGCTCACTTATCAGTCCTTTTTTTCTAAACACCGCTCTCAGATATTCTATAAAAAATATGAGGCTTGTGTGTTGAGAACCGTGGAGAACATTAATATTGCTAAAACAACAGAATGTCTCTAGGTCCTGATGTCACCTCACCCTTCCAGTGCTTTAGTGTTGGACAAAGTATTGACAAGAATGAGCTTCCATTATTGGAAAATATATTCTTGATATTCACTTGATAAAGTTTAGAAGGTACCAAGTCAGAGATCTTCAGTAAATGACAGTCTGTCTCCCCCCTAAAAAAGACTCCTATTCACATGATATTTTCATCATACTTAAGAAAAACAATTTTTGTTACCTTTTCACAATTATAAGGTCAGCCATGTTTTTGTGGGTGTTGGTTTGAGCTTGAAAAGAACATACCAGCCCTTTATACAACTTAGATAAACTGAGCATTCTTCTCCAGTATATTAATTCTTTCCTTGCATAATTTAATAACGGTAGTGAAATCTTGTCTAGTGATTACACAAAAGGTGGAGAACTAGTGTATAAAAGGCATGTGTAGCTGCTCAGTGCACAAAGCAATCAGAGCAGTTCCGTGGAAGATATAACACAGTGATTTATTTCTCAAGAGTGGGGATTGCAATTGATTTTCATTTTTAAAATAATGTGCTTAGCTATGTCTTCACATTACCCTCTCAGCTATAGACAGTCTCAGGTTGCACCAAGGAAAAAAAAAACTGAGACTCGTAAATGGGAAAATATAAATATTTGAGAAAATTAAAATATGTCAACGGGAACTCAGAGACAACATAATTATAGATAGCTTATCATTTAATAATTTGTGACTTTATTAGACATGACGCTGTGTATCTATTAATCAAATGTATAATAGGTATTAGTAAAAACATTTTATTTTATTTTGAGAAAGGCTACCATTTTTTCCTCATTTAATCTCTCTTGCTATCACTTATTTTTCAAAAATGGATAGGCAGAGATCCTAAAAGGTTAATTGCTTTTTTAAAAGGCATAACTATGAGCTAACTAGATGGCTCAGTAGTTATAGCATTTTATGCTCTTAGAGGGCACCTGGGTTCTGTTCCTGGCACCCATGTTGGGTAGCTTGCAACTATCTATAACTACAGCTCCAGAGACTCTGATTCCATCTTCTGGACCCTGCAGATACATGCACGTGCTTAGACACACATCATCACAACATCTACCCATAATTTTTTAAAAATACAACTTTTTGATGAATCACATCTATTTCAGGATAGGAAAATTACTTAAATAAAGCTCCTAGAGATCGACATTTATTTTCATAGAAGCACCTTAACACCTGCCTATCAATCACAGATGCGGATGTGTCCATTTGCACCCCTTATAGATAGAGACTCAGCTGTATATAGAGAGAGCAAATAGTTTCAGCACATCAAGACGGGAGCACACTGTGATTAAGATACTGAGTGGCACTGACTGCCAATGAAAGTATTAAAACTAAAACCTGGAGCTAAGGACATTGCCCACCATTTGCTCCCATGCGTCAGGACTGGACTTTGATAGTCATTGGATATCCAGTAAAATAATCTAGGCCTGGTGTCTCAAGCTTCTGATCCTAGCACTGGAGAAGTAGATTCCTGGGACTCGATGGCCAGCTCAGCTAGCCTTCTTGGAGAGTTCCAGACAATGAGTGACTCTTGTTTCTAAGGATGTGAACTGTGTTTCTGAGGTTGATACTGAGGTAGTACCTTGTCCTCTGCATGCATACACAAATGACCTTCATGTCACACACATGCCCACAAGTCTATAATAAAAAGAAAGAGGAAGAAGAACAGGCATTCTACCAGACACAGCTAAGGAAAGGTACCCTTGTCTGGGTGTGGCTTTTTATTTGAGATAACCACCTGTGTACTTAAGACACCATTTCAAGAAAGAAAGTTAGGGTTTGGGTCCTTCCACTCACATGGAATTTCAGTCTTTCTTTGAGTAGGTTGTTTAATTTTTAAACTTTTTCTTTTTCCACCCCAGTGCTAAATGATCTTTAGTTTCCCCATAACAAGGCAGCTTCAATTTGCATACACTAAACTTTCAGAAAGTGACACTTTAGAAATGGAGATAATGCCCAGTTCTTATTAAATTGCTGCTTAAATTAAGCTAGATTTAAAAACTGGTGCAGCAAAACTCAGCATGATCAGATCTACTGATGAAACACTTACACCAAACAAATATATTTGGATTTTATTTAATTCAGCATGATTTGGTGCTCATAAAATACCCTATCATTAGCAACTCAGCACAAAGGAGATGCAGAGTTCTTTCTCTGTAACCTCAGGTTAATCTTCTTAATTAAAACATTATCTCATTTAATGACAATTTAGTTGCCAGTAAAACAAGGTTAATTATTATTGAGGCTTGCATTTCAGAATCATGGAGGAAGGGATTCTGTGGATTTGCAGTCTTTCTGGCGAATGGGACTGTTGAAAGCAAAGATGAGCTCTCTAATTTGCACACTTGATGAACGATACGAATATTAAAAGGTGAAAATGAACGCAGTGGGTTTGCTTAATTCCAAACTCCATGGAAAAGTAAAATTGTAACTGCGATTATGAAATGCTGAATAGCCAAATTTGGGAGGCAGTCTGACGCTTTACTGAGGTGCCTTTATCTAAAAATGGCCTCCAGAGTACAGTGTTTAATTTGCATTTGGGTGGAAGTTGATTGGGTTATCAGTCATCCTGCACAGGTGCAAACTTACAGTTTCAGTGGTAGAGTCCCTGGAAGAAATTGTCAGTGTTTGTGTGTCTTTGGCCAAGTAAATCATAAACTATTGGTAATTGTTCACAGGAAAATCAAATCCAATCTAATGCTCCTATTTGTCTAGATGGTGCATTAAATGATAAAAATATAATCACAATTTTTTCTAACTAGGTAAGAATTGGATCTTAAAAAATCAGTCATTTAATGCATTGCCATATCCTTTTTGGATAGTTTATTTAGTCATCTCTTTCTTACTTAATGTAACAAAAGCATGACATTTTATCCACAGAAAGAAAACATTTTTTTTTCTCACAATGTTTGCTTTTTGGCATATTCTCAGATGAAAATCTGTCTCCGTTTGGAAAATCAAGTAAATTTTGCATTAGAGTTTTATTCACATACTTTATGGTACATTATAACAGAGCCAACTTTGAACATAGATTCCTCTGACTCATAGATTTAGATCATCCAGATCTTAAAATACATTTCATTCACCTGCAATGGTCATGTTAACCTTGTGCTAAAGGTAATCTTTAGCCCCTCTGGATCCAGTCTCATGAAAACTAACTTCACATGGCTAGTCAGATGTGCTTAGCTAGGAAGATGAGAGGTGTATTCTTGGATAGAAGATAGATAAATGATAGATGGATGGATAGATAGATAGATAGATACATAGATAGATAGATACATAGACAGGCAGATAGTAGTTCACAAAAAAGTGATACTTGTATAAAATGAATAGATGATAGGTGAGAGAGAGGTTACAGAACAGACATGATAGAAAATAACTGATAGTTTGATAATAGATGACAGATGACAAAGAAATGATTATAGTGTGCTGAATAGTTTTATGTCAACTTGATATAAACTAGAGTCATCTGAGAGGAGGGGAATTACAATTTTTAAAAAGGCTCCATGGACCTCCCTATCATTGGAGAAGGAAGGGGCATAGGAGAAGAAGAGGGAGGAAGGATGGGACTGGCAGGAGATGAGGGAGGGGGCTACAGCTGGGATACAAAATGAATAAATTATAATAAATAATTAAGTAATATTAAAAAGAGAATCCACTCTCTGTGCTTTTCAATTCCAAAAGGCCACAAGTTACTATCTCAAAAGCTATAATGGAAGCAATAGTTCTAGCTCTGTCTAGCTCTGGCTAGAGAGATTTGAAAAAAAAAAAAAAAACAAAAAAAAAGGCCTCCATAAGGCATGGCTGTAGGGTATTTTCATAATTAGTGATTGACTGTGGAGGGCCCAGGCAATTATGGGTAATGTCATTCGGGGCTGGTGGTCCTGGATTCTACAAGAAAGTAGCCTGAGCAAGGAATAACCAGTACCCTCTATGTCATCTGCATCAATTTTTGACTCCTGGTTCCTGCCCTGTGTAAGTCCCTGTCCTTGCTGCTTTTGATGATGAACAGTTATATGGAACTATGAGTGAAATAAACCCTTTCTCCTCAAGTTGGCTTTGGTCATGCTGTTTCATCACAACAACAGTAATGCTAACTAAGACAGTTAGATTATATGTGATAGACAATAGATAGGTGAAAAATATATGTCAGAAGATAAGTGAAAGATATTATCTGATAGACTAATAGATTATAGCTAGATTAGATAGGTGATAGCTAGGTAGACAGAACATAAATAATGAGTTTATGAGAAATGATAGAGATACAGATATATATGATAGATATGTTAGGTGATAGATAATTGACATAAATAATAAGCATGTAATAGGGAAAAAAGATTAATAAATGCTTAATAAATGATGAATAGATGATAATACATGAGCGATGTTTACTGGTAAATGACAAATAGGTGATGATAGACAATGTAGATGGTACATGATTGTAGGAAACAGGTATAGAATAGACACAGACTTTGAACAGTGCTAGCAAAATGTTTCCCGATCACTTGGAACTCTAGATAAAACACAGATATGTAGCTCCACACCTGAAGATTCTGATTCTAGGTCTGTGAGCAGGGACCAGGGATCTGTGTTTGTAAGGCCCCAGATGAGGTAAATTGGTGCCGCTCGCAATGAAGAGTTTATATGGTCAAGTTGCATCATAAAAAGGTTTACGTTTTAACTCACTTGATCTAGCTAGAGAAATTACCAAACAAAACTTAAATGAATTATTACCCCCATAATTGCTTTTAGTATTCATGGAGTTCCTTTGCTTTTGCATGTTTGCATGTGTGCGTGTAGGTGAAGGCCCAAGGTTAATGTCAGGGATCACCCTAAACTGTTCTTTCCTCTTACTCATTGATGTAGGGTCTCCCAGTAAAACCCGGAATTCACTGATATGGCTGGTCTTTTTAGCCTACTTTCTCTGGAGATCACTTTTCTACCTTCTGGACTATAATTATATTGCATTAGTGTGCCCAGTTTCCCCTTTAAATTTTACTGATTACTAAATGTGCAGAAACAGCCTCTCTGAGTCTTGGCAGCAAAAGACAATGACCAAGCCTACCTCCTATTTACGCAGATGTTGGAGAGCCATACTGTAGTACTTGTGCTTGTGTGGCACATGATCTAACAACTGAAGAATCTCCCCAGTCCCAGCATGAGGTCATTCTTTAATTCGCCTATGGAAATTGGTTGAGACCTAATCGAGAGAGAGTTCACCATCACCCCTCTTTCTGGCTCACAGAGTATTTGGCAACCATTAGTTTGTCATTGTCTGGGACTTAACAGAAAGCACAACTAGTATGTGTGTTTAATTCCAGCATTCTTGGTATTAGTGAGCTCACTTTACTATCCTATTTTCATCTAGAAAATGATTAGAATAATCTTTGTGCTGAAGGAGTGACAAACCTAGGTCATGATCCTTTAGAACATGCTACAGACTGGAACTGTATCAGCCACCATACTTGGTGGTCATTTTTCCCTTAATGGAATGTTGATTAACTGAAACCAAATTATACATGCATTTCTACTCTTCTGACACAGACTAGGAGAGGATTGTTTCTGCACCTCTCAAGGGTTATTTAAATATATGAGTCACCCATTTAGCAATCAGCAAAGCTTAAAGAGAAAGACAGGGCATAGTAATACAATGAAATCCATTAGGCTCTTTTGATTTTTAAACACATTCTATCTGATCCATGTGAAGATTTTTAATATTTATGTATTTATTTTTAAAATACATTTATTTATGTGTATATTTGTGTGTTGGCATACATGTGTAGATCAGAGAACAACATATAACAGTCTGTTCCTGGTAGGATTTCTGTAATCCTTGTGGGTGAGGTTTTCCTCTCTCTCTGCTTTCTTTTCCCTTTCCTTTTCTTTCCTGTTTCCTTCTTTTACCTCTCTCTTTCCATTTTCTGATCCCTGTCCTTACTCCTCTCCCCGTTTCCTTCCATTCCCCACATCTTTTTGAGTGTATTATTTCCCTTTTCTTTAGCTTCCCCCTTTTCCCTCTCTTCTCTGCCAATAGAAGGGTTCACACTGCCATCCTTATTTTATGATGGTAGCAATCTCTTGGTCTACTGGCTCTTTTGCATGTCCAGCTTTTCTAGAGCTTTGCAAATCAAGCACAATAGCACCGCCTAATGAATAAACCCTCCCTGATTCCCCATAACCTTTAATTGTCTGACTAAAATCTTCTAGAAGCAGCAATATGAAAAAAACAATTGAAAGTAATCAAGTGGTTGAATTTAAAAATAATTTATATTTTGAAGAAATTAAACTTTTTACACCCAGTAAAGGCCACACACACACACACACACACAGAGAGAGAGAGAGAGAGAGAGAGAGAGAGAGAGAGAGAGAGAGAGAGACAGAGAGGGAGAGAGAGACAGAAACAGAGTCAGACAGACAAATAGAGATTAAACTAGTTAAAATTTCTATTATTTGTCTTAATATAGTCTAATGCTTATATATTACATATTACAGCTTTTATTTTCTCAAAGGCAGGTCAAGTGAACCCAACAGTGAAGTTATATGTTGTAAACCTGTATGGACCCACTCATACTTTGGAGCTGATGCCACCCGACATTTTTAAATCAAGGTAGGCAATTTCAATTCCACTTTTAAGGGGAAAATAGATATCTCCCATCCAATTATCATTTTGTTGCAATTTCGACAATGATGTGATCAGTGCCACAATTCCACTTGAAAATGAAGCTGAGGTTGCCTCTATCAGTTGGGAATGAAGTCATTCTGGGTGTCTGGCTGTTCCCAAGAAGTGTTTAGTTTCAAGGTGATTAGAGGTACAACAAAATGATAAAAGATACTAATGATAGAGTCTTTTGCTGGAGATTCAAAGGAGAGGAAGAGAAGTTAATTTTCCACTGCATTTTCTCCTAGAGAACAGTTACGCCATTCTTTTTATTTTATTATGTTTTTAATTTACATCTTACCGCGACCCCTCCTCTGGGTCCCTTCCTCTCACCCACTTCCCTCTATTTCCCCTTCCCTTCTCCTCAGAAAAGGAGAGCCCCTCCCAGAACCCACTGCAGCACCTTCTTTTTAAATGGTGTTTTTTAGAAGGGTAGGGTGAGGGACTGTGACTGGAGCTCAGGGGTGGAGTGATTGCCTGACATGCACTAAGCCCTAGATGTTACAGATATGGTGGTACACATCTGCAATCCCAGGTCTTGAGGAGAGGAACGGGGAGGATCTCAAGTTCAAGATCATCCTAAGCTACATAAGGAGTTCCAGGCTACCCTGGGCTACATGAGCTCTGGTTAAAAATAAACAAACAAACAAAAACAAAAATAAAAAACTTAGAAAATTAAATGTTCTATAAACTGTGTGTAATTTATCTTACCATTTTGTGTTCTTCTGCAAGCAGAGCAATTGGATGAAGTACAATTTGCTTTAAGAACATTTGAATAGGATGAGGGAAGAAGGCTCAGTAGGTAAATCTACTGAGGACAGAGTTTAAATCCCCAGAACACACATAGAGACAGATGTAATAATGTGTAGCCTATAGTTCCAGTGCACCCATGGTGAGATGGGAGCTAGAAACAAAAGAATAACTGGAAGTTCATGGGCCAACAACCCTGGAGACCACAGTGGTGAACAGCAAAAATAAGAGGAGATGAATGACATGTGAGGTTGCCTTCTCTCCCTTCATCCCCAAACACATACACTGTGTCAGGCACACACCTGAATAACTGTATCAAGATAAAGGAAACATGTGTCCAAGACTTGAATTTAATGTTGGAAACATCGTCAACACCAACCAGATTAGCATTAGCACACTGAAGTATTAAATGTCTCAAATTACTAAGGAGCTTCATTTGGTGTTATAATCAGTTTACCAAGGATGTAGAGACAAATCCACTAGCTACTGTTGAAGACTCGTCTCACTGTTAAGAATTCACCTATCTCTTGTCATTTACAATCCATCAAACACCCCTTGTTTGGATGTGTTGTTTATAACAAAGCTACATGTATCTGAGTATAGCATAATCCACACTATGCTGGATGAGATGGGGTTAAGTTAATGTTTGTTTTGATAATTTCTATAATCAACTCAAAGTGTCTGGTTGTAGACAAATTGATTTGAATGTTGACATATTTCAGGAAATGTAATCATAGTTGGGCATATTTTACAGATAGTACACTGTGATGTCTATGGAAGTTATTATTTAAAAATAAGTTGTGTAATGCTTCTGAGTAAAGGCTCCCTTTAATTATCTAATATAAATTTATTTTTTGATGAATGGGGAAGATAAAACACAGAGAAAAAGAGTATGTATGGTAGAATCTCAGCACCACTTGGTAGCACCAGTTCAAAAGGATAAAACCATTTCATCCAATTTCAGAATACTTTACACACATTAAAATAGAAAAACTTAATTTGTTTTAATTTTTTATTTACATATTTTTATCTGCATTTGGTGTTTTGCCTAAATGAATAACCCTGTGAAGGAGTTGGATCCACAGGAACTGGAGGTACAGAAAGTTGTGAGCTTCTGTATTTGATGTTGGGAATTGAACTCAGGTCCTCTGGAAGATCAGCCAATGCTCTTAATCCTGAGCCATTTCTCCAAATAGCCTTTGTTCCCACAAATTAAATAAACTTTCTCATTGGAATAAAAAAAATGAAAAAAAAAGTGTTTTAGAATTGACAAATAGGCTGTTGTAGGATTAAAGGAAGCAAAGAGAAAGTTCTATTTCTGAGCCTGGTCTAGAAGACATGAGTGATTTAGTCATATGTAAACAAATAGCTACAAGACCTGTACAAGATGAAGCCAGCAGGAATCCTAGCACCTATGAGGAAGAGATGTCATGGTGCCTCTCACACAGGAGCTAGTGCCTGGTAATGGCTGCTGAGTGAAGAGCTGTCAATTTTCTTAAAGAATGAGGCTTCTGAGAAGCTTGCTCCAGTAGATGTACATAAAGGCAGCACTAAGCAAATGTGGGAAATTTTTCAAAAGCACATGAAGATGAGAAGGAAGCATGTGGGGTCACAGTGAGAGCAACTGGAGGGAAAGAAGGGGAGACACATTTAATCAAAATGGTTATGTACATGTATGAAATCCTCAAACAATAAAAGATGAAGCAATTAGAGAAATTATTATTGTTATTCCTTTACCCTTTTCTTCTTGAGTTCTTATATGATAAAAACAATCAGATCAAAGCATTAGAGGACCTGATAATATAGCTCTGTTGGTAGAATGCTAGCATGGCATTCACGAAGTCCTTGGTTCAATAATAAACACACAAAAAGTGAATGCAGTGATGCATGCCTTTAAGTCCAGCCTTGGAAGGTGAAGGCAGGATGGTCTCAGAAGTTCAAAATCAGCCTTGGTGTCCAGGAAGTCTGAAGTCAGTCTGGGCTATGTGATACCTTGTCTCAAAGCAAATCAGAACAAAATCACAATGAAGATTTAAAAAAAGAAGAGAAAAGGATTTGGGTAGAGGCCAGGAAACAGAAATGAACCATTCAGAGGGATAAGGAAACTAAGGAAATGGTGTGGAAAGTGAAAGAGGGGCTCAAGTTGGGGACAAGGAGTTGAGTTGGGTAGGGAGCATAAGGTGATGCCTTGTACATCTGAAGGAAACTATTCATAGTGCACTGATAGGGACCCTGCATCCATCAGGGTGCAATATGGTTGCCTGCGCTAGGACATTCCTGTCATTGTTGCCGCATGAATAGGAGAAAGTCCCAAAGGCCTTTCGTAGTTGAGCTCTGGAAGGTCTACAGCTGCTGAAGGAAAGAGTCGGTCTTCTTTAGTAATAGGTCCAGTGATAGGCTGCTCATATCCAAGTGGTCAGCCCTCCACCAAGATATATGCTGACTTCATCAACCATATTCAGTGGAATAGATGTTCACACACACATACACAGAGAGAGAGAGACAGAGAGAGAGCATGGATTTGGATTTGAGAGGATCATGTGGGAGTGAATGTTCAGAAGAGTTGGACCTGGGCAGGGAAGAGTGGATATGATAAAAATATATTTACACTATTGTATTAAATTTAGAAAAAAATTGAAACCAAATTGATTTAAACAAAAACTGTTTGGTACCTTGGGGAAAGTCAGTTTCTTTCTATAATCTCTACTTTCATTTCGCTCTCTACATTTTATTTATTAATTTTCATTAATTCATGCCTGACCCTGTTAAGTTGTGTGATCAAATGAGCATAGATCATGAATACAGGATTTCTTCAGCATAAATTCTGTTTACACACATTGTATCATCATGCATCTCACTTTTATTTTTTTAACTATGTGATGATTCTTAATAGAATGCAGCTTAAGAGGACCTAAATTAAAGGTCCAGTTCCTTCTAGAACCAAACCCAGTGGGAGGTAAGATGGTTTATATCTTCTGGAGAAGTAGAGGTTTTTCTGAAAATGCTCACACTATTAGTTTAAGGTGCAACGAGCACTGGATACTTTTTCTAGAAAACATAGGTAGGGTGTGCTTTAGTGCTAGCAAAAATATTTTTTTATGATGAGTCACGAAGACATTAAAAATCATTGACATTTTTGAGAAAGAGATGCATTTTTAAATTTTGTTTTGTGTACACACTTGTGTGGAGATATGTGCGGAGGTCTGAGGACAGCTTGCTGGAGTCAGTTCTCTCCTTCCTTCCACAGTCTGGAGCCTGGAAATGAACTCTCCTTGTAGAGATGGCAACAAGTTCCTCTAAGCTCTGAGCTGTCTTTCCAGCCCTGCACGATCTTTAGTTAGTGTTTAGTCTCTGTGAGCCCCTAAAGGCCCAGGTTAGTTGACTCTGTAGGTCTTCTTGTGGAATCCTTGACCCCTCCAACTCCTACAATAATTCCCCCAGTTCTTACATAGGACTTTCTGAGCTCTATCTAATGTTTGGCTATGGGTCTCTGCATCTGTTTCCATCAGCTGCTAGGTGAAGCCTCTCAGAGGAGTTATGCTAGGCTCCTGTCTAAAAGCATAGCAGAATAACTTTAATAGTCTCAGGGATTGGCACTCTTCTGTGAGTGAGTTTCAAGTAGAACCATCTTTTGTTCAGCCATCCCCTCAACCTTGATGTCTTCATGTAGAAGAATGCAAATAGATCCGTATATATCACCCTGCACAAAACTCAAATCCAAATGGACCAAAGACCACAACAAAAAACCAAGTACAGTAAATCTAATAGAAGAGAAAGCAGAGACTAGACTTGAACTCATTGGCACAGGAGACAACTTCTAGAATAGAACACCAACAGCTCAGGCGCTAAGATCCACAGTTAATAAATGGGACCTTATAAAACTGAAAAGTTTCTGCAAGGGAAAGGACACTATAAGTAGGACAAAACAACAGACTACAGACTGAGAAATGATCTTCAGCAACCCTACATCTGGCATCGGGCTAATGTCCAGAATATATAAAGAACTCTACAAATAAAATAACAGTTTAAATAAAAAAAAAACTCAGTAACTAATAAGAAAAATAAAATTAAAAGAAGAATTGAAAGCTCAAAAAAATGGGGTATAAATGAAATTTGCATGTAAATGGTGGGAAATGGAAAGGATCATCCTGAGTGAGCTGTCCCAGAAGCAGAAAGACACACGGCATATACTCACACATATAGACATATAATATAGGATAAACCTCAATATTTATACCTAGAAAACTAATCTAGAGGGAGGACCCTGACTAAAATGCTCAATCCCCATTTAGAAAAGCAAAGAGTATGGACACCAGAGGAAGAAGAAAACAGGAAACAAGTTAGGAGCCTCCCACAGAGGGCTTCTGAAAGGCTCTGCCCTGCAGACTATCAAAGCAGATGTTGAGACTTATGGCCAAACTTTGGGCAGAATGGAGGGAATCTTATGTAAGAAGTGGGAAATAGTAAGATCTGGAGAGGACAGGAGGTCCACATGGAAAGCAACATAACCAAAAAATTTGAACACAGAGGTCTTTCCTGAGACTCATACTCCAACCAAGTAACATGCATGGAGATAACCTAAAACCCCTGCACAGATGTAGCCCATGGCAGTTCAGTGTCCAAGTGGGTTCCATAGTAATGGTAATAGGAACTGCTTCTGACATGAACTGATTGGCCTGCTCTTTGATCACCTCCCCTGAGGGGAGAGCATCCTTACCAGGCCACAGAGGAAGATAATGCAGCCACTCCTGATGAGACCTAACAGACTAGGATCAGAAGGAAGAAAAAGAAACCCTCCCCTACCAGTGGACTTGGGGAAGGGCATGCATGGAGAAGGAGGAGGAAGGGAGGGATTGGAAGGGGAAGAGGGAGGGAATTAGAGGGGGGAATACAAAGTAAATAAAGTGTAATTAAAAATAAAATAAATTTTAAAAAATGGGGTATAGACCTAGACAGAACTCTCAACAGAGGAATCTCTCATGGCTGAGAAACACTTAAACAAATTTCAATGTCCTTAGTCATCACAGAAATGAAAATCAAAACTACCTTAAGATTCCATCTTACATCCATCAGGATGCCTATGATCATGGTGGCAAGGTTGTGAAGAAAGGCTAACACTCCTCCATTGCTGGTGGGAGTGCAAACTTATACAACCATTGTCGTTAACAATCTGGTAGTTTCTGAGAAATTTGGGAATAGGTATACCTCCAGATACAGCTATACCACTACCAGGCATATACTCAAATGTTGCTCCACCATACCACAAGGACATTTGCTCAAAGATGTTAAAAGCAGCTTTCTTTCTTTTTTTTTTTTTTTTTTGTAATAGCCAGAAACTGTAAACAGCCTAGATGTCCCTCAACTGATGAATAAATAAAGACTGTGGTACTTGTATAATATTCATATTAATTTTATTACAACTTTAGACACATATATATGCCCTTCAAGATTATCTGAACTGTTATAATACATCCTTTCTTTTCCTGGTTGTGTATGGGGCACACAATTCTTTTCTATAAAAGCTTAATTTTATATATTATGCTAAAGGTTGATGCTTCCATTTCCGTTTGTGTGTCTTTGTAGATACACACGTTTTTTGTCTAGAAGTGTGTATAGTTTGAACCCCCTTCCTTTGTTTGTTTGACAAGAATCATATGTCCCACCCTTAAGCCTCTCCAGGCCCTTTCGACATCCTAGTGGTCACACTGCTAAATATAACCACATATTCAAAATAAATTTGTTGAGACAAAACTTTGAAAGTGGAGCAGACACTCTTCCTTGTAGGACTGCCTGGCCCAGTGAATTGATCAAAGCATTTATCCCCTTCTCCGCCCCCCCCAAAAAGAATATATCCAAGCCAGCTCTGGTGTGTTTCAATGCTGCCCCATTAACTGCTTTGAGGATGTGGTTTTATGCTTTCTCTGAGTTTCTTGGCAATTTATAAACAGGGATAAGCTGCTTGTGAAAGCTTCCAGATGTTTTAAACAGATATGAAGACTATTTGTCAGACATCAGTCTATGGAAAGTCATACTTGTCCTTCTGGTGACATCTTCATGTCACCAGATATTTTTATAGGGAACTGTAGCTCTTCAGAAATGCATTCAAAAATGTGCGTTCATATATCTAGTTCTCTTAGCCAGAGTTATCGTAGAACAAAAGATTTGTTGTATCATGTTGTACTAGCTATAAATAATAATTTTACTATCACAAACAAAAACAAATTTAGTTTTCTTTTTCTCTTATTTATCTGTGTGCACATGTATGCCACATGAGTGTAGTACTTTACAGGCCAGAGGAGGACATTAGATCCCTGAGTTGGAGTTACAGGAGGGGTTAAGCTGTCCTATGAGGGTGCTGGGTGCTTAAATACTATCTTCTTCAGTACAGTTCACCAAGCACCATTAACTGCTAGGACAGCTCTGCAACCACTAAACATCAGTTTTAAGACAAAAAACACATATGTCACTTTTAAAGTCATTTTTGTTTGTTTGTTTTTAGGGCTCATGCCATTTTTTTACTCTTTTTTATTTTATTTTTATTAGTTACAATTTACTCACTTTGTATCCCCCCTGTACCTCCCTCCCTCCTCCCCTCCCAATCCCATCCCCCCTTTCCCCACCTGTGTCCTTCTCCCAGTCCACTGATAGGGGAGGTCCTACTCTCCTTCCCGCTGATCCTGGTATATCAGGTCTTATCAGTAGAGGCTTCATTTTCTTCTTCTTTGGCCTGCTAAGACTGTTCCCCCCTCAGGGGTATGTGATCAAAAAATGGTGGGAACTGGAAAAGATCATCCTGAGTGAAGTACCCCAGAAGCAGAAGGACACACAGGTTATATACTCACTCATAAATGGATAGTAGACCTATAATATAGGATAAACATACTAAAATCTGTACACCTAAGGAAGCTAATCAGGAAGGAGGACTCTTGCTAAGATGTTCAATCCCCATACAGAAAGGCAAAGAGGATGGACATCAGAGCAGGGAGAAAGCAGGGAACAGGACAGGAGCCTACCACAGAGGGCCTCTGAAAGGCTCTACCCTACAGGGTATCGAGGCAGATGTTGAGACTCATAGTCAAATTTTGGGCAGAGTTCAGGGAGTCTTATGAAAGAAGTGGGAGATAGTAAGACCCGGAGAGGACAGGAGCTCCACAAGGACAGTGACAGATCCTAAAAGTCTGAGCACAGGGGTCTTTTCTGAAACTGATACTCCAACCAAGGACCACTCATGGAGATGGCCTGGAAACCCTGCACAGAGGGACTGTCTCTGACAAGTAGTTTGTTTTTAATGCTACTCCTCTGTTATGGAATGGGGGATGTATCTAGAAAGATTGCTGCTTTTCCTTTTTATCATATATCAAACTATGATGGCTGGGCTTAGTGAGAGGTGTGAAAGCTCAGAGTTTTATGACACGTTATATTAATTTCTAAACACAAAATCAAAATATTTTGTAAATAAATTTATATTACACATTTCTAACAATCTCCCATCACTTTGAGGAAATAATTATACCAGTAATTAATGTTCTTTCTATGCTAAAATTTTAATATCCAGTCAGATGCAATAGTTTGACTAATTTCCATTTTCAAATGTTTGAAGCAAGATGAATAACAATATTATAAAAAAAATATTGTGACTAAAAGGCGAACCAGTTAATTCACAACTGATGAAAACAAACTCCACTGTATTAGTCACTTTTCCTGTTACTGTGATAAAAATATCTAATAAAAGCAATTAAAGAAAAGAAGGGGCCTGGAGAGATGGCTCAGTGGTTAAGAGCACTGGCTGCTGTTTCAGATGTCCTGAGTTCAATTTCCAACACCCACATGCTGTCTCAGAAACACTTATAATGTAGTCTTTTGGGATCAGATGACCGCTTCTAATGTGTAGATAGATGTACATGTAGACAAAAATCCCATATACAGAAGAAAATAAATCTTCTTTTAAAAAGAAAGGAAGGGTTTATTTGGGCTCCCAGTTGAAGGAAACAGTGCATGCTGGGGTCAGGGGGAGGAGGAGTCATGGAAGCAGGGGCACGAAGCCCATAGCATCCAGGCAGGAAGCACAGGGAAATGATTGCTGGCGCTCAGCTCACATTCTCTTTTTACTCAGTCTTCAGCTTATGGAATGGAAACACTCTCACAAAGTTGTGTAGAGATCATGATTTTCTAAAACACAGTGGCTAGTTGAAAAGAAGATTATTCATCACACATACAATTATTGCCCCTGTAGCTGAAGACTTAATACATAAGATAATACCTGAAGTTTGTGCTGAAGGAGTAACCAGTAAGCCAAGATTTAAGTTTTGATTTCTAATGGCTATTAGTTGTTCTTTTAACAAAGTGCAGCGTAATGCTAAAATTATGTACTTGTTTTCCACACACTACTCCCAATCAATATTTTTTTTTCAAAATATCAAGTATCTGGTAGATTCTATGTTTCCAAAAATGGCTTTTATGATAAACAACTCATTCTTAGATGTTTTCTACTATCATCTTTATTTTTGTGCAGATATGGATAGCTTTATATATACATTCATGTTTATTTGAAATTGTATCTTCAAATATTTAAACAAGAACATGAGTGCTCTTGTTCATGTATGTTTATATGTGTACATGGAGTACAGCATTCTACAATACTTCCCTTATTACATATAAACAGCACATTGCTCTTACTGGCATTGTACTGATTCTCATGCTCTAAACATAAATTTTATGTTTTTGTTTCCAAACTAGAGAATATTACATCACCATGGTTAAGTGGGTGAGCAACACGAGGACAGTGGTCAGGTGGTTGAATCGGCCTCAGAACATCTCCATCCTCACGGTCTGTGAGTCCACTACCGGGGCATGCAGTAGGGTGAGTGTGACTTACTTCCATCTTTCGTGTAAGGTAAAGGGGTGAGGAGTCACTGCTATGGAAGGCAGATTTGCTATGGTTTCACACAAAAGCTTTAAGACAAATTTTAATATAAATATATTATTTGTATTATAAATATGATATATAAATATTATATATATTACTTACAACAGTAGTAGAAAAGGATACAAATACTTGAATGTCTATACCTTTGTGGCTGAGGAAGTGTCTTAGAGAATGAGATGCTTTCCACACAGTGTCAAGTACCTGAGCACCCAGTAAATTCCAGGCAAGGGTAGTTAGTCCCTTGTAATTCTAGCATTTGGAAGCTGGAGACAGGGATTAGAAGAGCAGCTTGGCTATCTACACTTCCTGAGTTCCACGTTCAACAGGAGACCCTGCCTCAGTATGTAACATAGAGAACAATAAGATACTCAGTGTCATCCTTTGACTCTACATGCATGTGCACACATGTATAAATGAACATACATACATACCACAAACATATATGCCTAAAATGATAAACACAGGTATACACTTTAACCTATACCCTTACATCTTTCAATTTTTGATATGAGTGATATCAAGAATAAGTAAAGGTAAACACAATTAGCTCTTAAAGAAATTAGAGAATACATGTCCACTGCACATAGGTGGTTTAAACCTTATGGAGCTCTTTTCAATTGAGAATTTCTGTTCATATTTTGTCTTTGGCTTGATATTATCAGAAGCATCCTTTTCTGAGAAAGACACACATGGTATATACTCATTTATATAGACATATAAGATAGGATAAACATAATGAAATCTATACACCTAAAGAAGATAAACAAGAAAGAAGACCCGGGGTAAGATGATCAATCCTCACATAGAAAGACAAATGGGATGGAAACTGGATGTAGGAGAAAACAAGTAACAGGACAGAAGCCTACCACAGAGGGCCTCTGAAAGACTCTACCTAGCAGTCTATCAAAGCAGATACTAAGACTCATAACCAAAACTTCGGCAGAGTTCAGGGAATCATATGAAAGAAGGCGGAGTTAGTATGACGTGGAGAGGATAGTTGCTCCACAAGGACCAAATATATCTGGGCACAGGGGTCTTTTGAGACTGATACTCCACCAAGGACCATGTATGAATGTGGATATAATCTAGAACCTCTGTTCAGATGTAGCCCGTGGTTCAGATGTAGCTCAGTAACCAATTGGTTTTCCACAATAAAGTACTATTTTATTAAAGAACAGGGACTATTTCTAACAGGAACTCAATGGCAGGCTCTTTGACCTCCCCATTCCCCAAGGGAGGAGCAGTCCTGCTAGGCCATAGAGGAGGACTTTGCAGCCAGTCCTGAAGATACCTGATAAAACAGGGTCAGATGAAAGGGGAGGAGGTCCTCCCCAATCAGTGGACTTTGAAAGAGGCAGGAAAGAGAGGAGGGAGGGAGGGTCGGATTGGGAGGGAATGAGGGAATAGATACAGCTGAGATACAGAGTTAGTAAAATGAAACTAATAATAAAAATTAAAGAAGAAAAATAATAAATGAAAATTCTACCCAGAAATCCAATGGAAAAAAAGAAAAAGAAGTATCCTTCCCATTTTAGAGAGGCCACTTCTCTAAAGTATAGCTCATATTAGTTCTAGGGTGGTGTTTCTTTCCCTAAAATAAATAAAAGTGGACAAGGCTCTTATTTCACTTATTGTAACAATAAGTTGAATTTAAATATCTAAAATCACTTTCTGTAAACTATGAAATGACTTAAATGTACATTTAAGGTGATTGACAAAGAAAATGGGGCAAAAGTTTAAATGTTTATATCCGGCGTTTGATTGCTGTATAAAAAATTCTCAGATCGTGTTTAAGGAAATTTATAAATTACACATTTCTGCTATGGAAGTGATGGAGAAATCATACTGGTTATACTTCCCCAGGTAAAACACTAAAAAAAAATTATATAAAACAAACTTTCAGTTATAATACAAGAAACAGGATACATAGGCAAATGCTCTAGTGATGAATTCTCCCTTAGCTTTGTATTGGTAAAGAACAAGAGGTAAAGAGGTCTCATTCATTTGTGTAATCAGAAAGAATCACAGTCTTGTCTAGGAAGTCCGATCCCGGAAGCTGGGGTGTCTAAGAAAGAGCTCTACTCATCTATGCGAAAATATTCTAGTCTTTGTCTCAGCCTTTAAACATTGCTTTATCTATCAGAGAAAAAAAAGCTTACGGTTTTCAAGGAAAGATTAAAATTTAATAGACAACTGTCAACAATGTAGAATTTATAAGAAGCAGCATATTCTATACGTTTGGAGGATTATAAGCCAGTTTTACTGCCTCGGAAATAGTCTATAGGAACATACTCAAGTGTAACAATGTTTCGGGCAGCAAAAATTCTGAAAAATATTAGGAAGAAACTTAATAATGAATTTCCTAAAGGAACAAGCAGATGAAATTTTTTGATAGTGAGATAGAAACACAAAATTAAAAATGAAACTTTACAAGTGAAAAATATGCAGTATTTTAGGGAAAAAATGAACTGGATGAGCCTAATAAAACAGTGTTGAAGAATGGACAAACACTTAAACACAAAAGTGAATCCCTGAGAGAAAAATAAAAACCATATAGCTAATCACTGTGGGCAAGTCACGGCAGCAAGAGTTTGAAACAGCTGGTCACAGCACTCCCAACATCCAGAGCACAGAGAACGGACATCTTTACGCTCACTTGCTTGTCTTCTTAGCTGAGTTCCATGAAGACCTTAATTACGTGTATAACACTGTAAACTGACATACTTGTGAAATAATTCTAGGATAAATACACTAGAGAAAGAAAAACTGAAAATATGGTGATACAGCATTTCCCTACTATAAATGTGTACAATGTATTCAACATGTTCAAGAATTTTCTAAATCCAAAGCAATATAAAGATAAACAATAATTAAACAGCTCATAGTCAAGTTATTACAAATCAGAAATTTAGGGAAAATATTGAAAGTATCCTCAGAGAAAACAACATTAATATAAGAGGACACAAATATGATAATAACTGTCTATTTTTTTGTCAAACGCAGCATAAACCAGAAAAGAACAAAGTGATGTATATAAAGCCATTGTCAGATTTCATCCAGTTTGATTTTTCTTCAAAGGATGTTTTACATAATCACACAGGAAACGTGTATTTTGGTTGATCCAACAGGAGCGATGGGATTAGGCAAGTGTTTAGCGGTCATTTGGTCATGATCCATTGTTGAATAATCAGGAAGATCTGACAATTTAAGTAACTCTACATCTAAAATGATGTTTCAAAATTCATAAGAACCTGGAATTACTAAGGAAGACAGAGAAACAATGACACTCCGTACCTGTTATATTCCTATCGATATATGTGATACAGTAGCCTAAATACCAGGATAGCTACAAAATATTTCAACAGTAGAATTTGAAAAAATCATTTGTCCGACACCAATGTGTACCATGTTTTGTCTTCAGAATTATGATCCTGAGCCTTTAATGACTGAGCCATCTGCCAGCCAAAAGCACATTCTTAGTGCTGAAGGACTGTTCACGAGCCTCAAATAGAAATAGAGCAAAGAAGGGTTAGGGAGATGCATCTGTAGCTAAGGGTGCTTGCTGCACTTGCAGAGGACCCCAGTTCAATTACCAGCACCCACGTCAGGCTGCTGGTCACCACCTGTAACTCAAGGTCCAAAGTATTCAACAAAATCCTCTGTCCTCCCAGGTTCCTGCATTTACATGTTCCATATAAGGACAAGAAGGTATAAATATAAACATAAGAAAGAAATAAAAGCAAGAACCCCCTGTTTAAAAGTAATGACATTATACCATGCCTGTCTTTCTGTTTCTGGGTTATCTCACTCAGGATGATCCATCCATTTGCCTGCAAATTTCATGATCTCCTTGTTTTTAATAGCTGAGTGTTCCAATGTTTAGATGTACCACGATTTCTGTATCCATTCCTCCATTGAGAAACATCTAGGTTGTTTCTAGATTCTGGCTATTACAAATAAAGCTGCTATGAACATAGTTGAGCAAATGTCCTTATTGAATGGTGGGGCATCTTTTGAGTATATGCCTAGGAGTGGTATAGCTGGGTCTTAAGGTAGCACTATTCCCAATTTGCTGAGAAAGCGCCAGATTGATTTCCAAAGTGGTTGTACAAGTTTGCACTCCCACTAGCAGAGGAGGAGGACTACCCTTTCTCCACATCCTCTCCAGCATGTTTTGGAATTTCAAGTTGTTTTGATTTGCATTTCCCTGATGATTAAGGATGTTGAGCATTTTTTTAAGTGTTTCTCTGACATTCTATATTCCTCTTTTGAGAATTCTCTGCTTAGCTCTGTACCCCTTTTTTTAATTGGGTTATTTGGTTTGTTGGTGTCTAACTCACTTATAAGCAGATATTAGCTGCATAATGTAGGATAGCCATCTACAGAGCTGAAGAAGCTAAACAACAAGGAGGACTCAAGGGAGGATGCTTAAACAAGGCAGGATAGACACCAGAAGTGGTGGAAGAGAGGAAACAAGATGGGAACCTATGAGAGAACGTTCTCTAAAATGATTCACCCAACAGGTCATCAAAGCAGATGCTGAGATACAGGGCCAAACTTCCGACAGAGTGCAGGGAGTCTTATGGAGGAAGAAAGGGGTGGGAATAAAGTGACATGGCAGAGACAGGAGCCCCAAGGAGACCAACAAAACTGAAATATCTGAGTCCAGTGTGTACTGCAGAGACTGATGCACCAACAGAGGACCACGCATGGAGAGGACCTAGACCCCCTGCTCAGATGTGGCCAGTTGGCGGCTCAGTCTCCATATGGCACTCTGAGTGACAGGAGCAGGGACTGCCTCTATCATGAACTCAGTTGACTGCTCTTTGATCACTCACTCCTGATGAGGCAGCCTTGCCAGGCCACTGAGGCAGATGATACAGGCAATCCTGATGAGACTTAACAAGCTATGAACAGATGGCAAATAATGGAGA